CCGCCTCAAGGTAATATTACCGGTAATGTTACTGTAATATTACGCGCTAATATTAAGGTAATATTACAGTAATATTGGAGTAATATTATACCGTAATATTAAGTTAATATTACAAGAGAATATTACAGTAATATTATGGGAACATTTCTTTACGAAAAAAATCTACCCATCCAGGGAATCGAACCCCGAACTCAAAGCACACGAGTCCAGAGTTTTACCAACAAGCCAAATTGACTTATAATATATTTACGTTTTTTATGCGTTATGAATAACTCAAATTAGTCTGTAATATTACTGTAATATTATCGTTAATATTACAGTAATATTCCCGGTAATATTACCTTGAGGCGGACATTTTAAGATCACTGTAAGATTACGGTAATATTACAGCGTTATATTACGAATCAAACATGTAATATTACCTTGATATTGAGGATATATTACATAATTGACCCCCAGATTTATTAAATTGTATATATATTATTGTGTAAAAGCTGAAAAAGAACCACCTGGTTGCACATGAATGTGAGAAAATTTATATTACATTCGATACAATAATCGACATGTTTCCAAAGCAGAAACTAGTGTGCAAGTTCTATATTTACGTTATGGCTTTATCGAATCGATACACGTTTTCTCTCGCGTTTGAAAAGGTTTGGCTATGGTTTTGTAGGTGGCTGTTCAGAGGGTTTTTTTTTTTTTAGTGGTGTTTTAAGGGAAAGAGAGTTTGGATGATGGTGTGCGGAGGGTAGAATCGTATTTGTTTAGAACAATGGTCTCTGTTGGCTTTCGTCGGTATTAGTAGGTATGTTCTCAAGCAATACTGACTCTCTTCTCTCTCACCCCCCCCCCTCTCCCCTCCACCCCAGCCAATGCTTTTCGGGACCAACCGAGCTTTCCATAGTATAATGGCTGCCGCGCTTTTCAGACTTTTCGCCATCAGACAATGCCGTTTATTTAACATCGTTTAAAAGTACAAAGCCTGTTAATTAATGGATGGTAGCAGAGGCCGTGACGTTCGGGGTTGCGCGAGGGAAAATCAGAGGCGGGATCATCGAGAATAGCTATGGCAGCGTCGACACTGTGCATTTTTTTTCTATCGCAAAAAAAAAAAAAAAAAAAAGATAACACACAAGAAAAATTATTGGAAAGAGAGTCAATCAATACATATATATAGATATTCTAGTCTGGGTGTCGATTATGTAATTTGATTTGATTCTGACGTCAACTTCAAATTTATTTTGACGTCAAAGTCAAATTTAATGCGAGAAATTCATTTTTTGATTTGATTTTGACTTCAAATTCAAATTTATTTTGACGTCATAGTCAAATTTAATTCTAGAAATTCATTTGTTGAATTGATTTTGACCTCGAAATAAATTTGAATTGTACGTCAAAATCAAATCAAAAAATGAATTTCTTGCATTAAATTTGACTTTGACGTCAGAAACAAATCAAATTACATCATCGAAACCCTACACTCTCTAAATCTGAATCAGTAGAAATTTTACTAAATCAATCAGTACTTTTCATTTTAACTGAAGTTTCAATTATTTTTTGAAATTTACTAATATAATTAGTGAATATGCAAGCAATAAAAAATAACTTACATTAACTTAACTTATTTTAATGCCTTTTAATTTTCTGTGTATATAAATCAGTAATTTGTATATAACATAACCTTTAAAATTAACTATTAAATCAGTAGATTTTGTGGCCGCCGCCATATATTTATATTACTGCACGGAGAAAAATGGAAAAACGAATAAAGTAACTTTTACTACTTTAAAAGTAAAATTGGACCTGTCCGAAGTTTCTGCGCATCTCTGGCAACTTTTACTCGAAAAATAGTAAAATTGACTATTTCTGTAGTAAATTTTACTGTTTCCGTAGTAATTTTTACTATTTCTGAAGTAAATTTTACTATTTTTGGAGTAAAAGTTGCCAGAGATGCGCAGAAACTTCGGACAGGTCCAATTTTACTTTTAAAGTAGTAAAAGTTACTTTTTCTTTTTTTCCGTGTGATTCCATCAGTAATTGATATTTTACTAATTGAATCAGTAAATTTCTACTAATTGTCAGTTGCTCAATTCTCGCTATGACAATTAGTAGATTTCTACTGCTAATCAGAAAAATATGACTGATTCAGATTTAGAGAACACGTTATTTGATAATAGAAAATTTAATTTTTACCGAAATATTATTTTCCATAAGTTTTGAAATTATAAATTATAAATTTTTTTATTTTTCATTTATTTTCTGATTATGATTTTTAAAAATTTGTCCGTTTATAATTTTTCTTGTGTTTTTTCTTTGATTCGAAAAATATATATGATTTTTTCTCAACGTCCAGGGAGAGCGATTATTTTTAATTTCGAATAATATTGCCAGGAAGAATGGATACAAGTGTATGTATATATATGTGAAAATGAACGGGAGATTTCAGTATGCAAAGGTTTTGTGTTGAGCCTTTGTCACTTGGTTTTTGTTTCTACGATTCTAAAGAAACTTAGTGTCATATATTTGTGCGATTTATTTTGCACGCCTAAGAGCGACGGTCATAAAAATTTTTCCTATACTTCTGCTAAATGTATGAGCATATTCTTTTTATGAATTTGAACATCGAAAATTGCTATTCAAATAAGATGCAACACTATTATTTTGAAGCCAAATTGAATTAAAATAATCTAAAATTGGATTAAAATAAATACAGAAAATTAAAAGGCATTAAAATAAGCTGCAACGCTTATTATTTTAATCCAATTTTGCTTATTTTAATACGAAAATGGATTAAAATAAGCAAAATTAGATTAAAATAATAAGCGTTGCAGCTTATTTTAATGCCTTTTAATTTTCTGTGAAAGCGTTTCATTTTATTTTGAGAACTTACAATTTACTGTGAAGAGAAAATTTATCATTTAAAAAAAAAATATATTTTATAGTTTGTAAATAACAAAAGAACACTGAAAAAAGGATTTTGTTTGAACAACAAAATGAGGCAACGAAAGTATGTTGGTTATGCTTAAGTATACCAACCAAATATATTTTGTTGTCAAAACCAAACCCTTTTTTCATCGAAGTAAAAACAGATAATATTTTTAAATTAATTTTTTTAATTTTCTTTTCTTGATTTTGGAGTATTTAGATGTAAAAAGAAAGTTTTTGGCAAATATCTTTGAAAAGATGACGAAAAAACATTCGTATTTTTAAATATTTAAACAATTTTAATAAATAAATTATAGGCTAATTTTACACCACAGTTTGTCAATTTATAAATTTATAATTTGGCTTATAATCTTCATTTATTAATTAATTAATTAAAACAACATAAATAATAACATAATTTAAACAATTTTTGTGGAAACATATATCAATAATCTAGAATGAAATTATAATATACTTTGAAAATTTAGTATCAGTGAAAGAAAAGATCATAAAAAAGCAAAAAATAAATTTGAAAATTCAATATAAAAATTTAACGTATGTACATATACGTGAAAAAGAAAAATTGACAAATATTGAGATAAAAGAAAATGATGGGTCTTTAGATGTTTTTAGATTTCGTATACGCGCAACGAGAGCAAGTCGTTTTCTTTAGGTTCGAAAGTTGGGAAACAAGATGAGAAGAGGCTTCGGTAAGCGGCAAAAATACTTCATTAGGATGAAAGCTCGCTGCTTTTTCTTTCGTATATAAAGCTTCTTCTTCTCCTCCACCTCCACTTTCTACCCCTTTTCTTTTCGTCTCTTCGGTTTCTAGTTTTTTATGTCACACACTGCTTATACACACATACACACACGTTCAAACATTCGCGTATATGCATCCACCCCACAGTGTTCTTCTATTTTTCCATTTTTTTTTCTTTTTCACATTTTTTTTATATATACGCGATGCAACAATGCACACACAGGGGTATTTCGGGGACGAGAGACAAAAAGGATTATTCCCGGAAAGATAGGGAGAAAAAGGGAAATATTATACGATCGATGAAAAAAGACTATACATATATATAAAGAGAGAGAGAGAGAGAGAGGGATGGAAAACAGCCAGTTCATCGCGTGTCTTGAAAATGAATCACTTTACAAGTAAAAAGAAAAAAATTATTTCGATTTTTCTTCAAAAAAAAAAAATTGCCATCTATTCTTTTATAATTGTTAAATCGTTCCTGATATACCTCCATGAAAAGCTAGGTACAAAAAAGTTTATAGTTTTTTAATTTTAAATAAAATTATTATCGCATTTATGAAAAAATATATTAGAATTTAGGAATTTTAAATTGATTTTTAAAATTTGTAAAGATTTTGTTTTTTTTTGTTTTTTAATAAATGAAAAGAGGATGTTTTCTTCATTTTTCAAAAATGAAGAAAGAGGCAACTAGTTTGAAAAAGCGCTTTTTCTTGTACTTCAAGAAAAGTTCTATTTTAGCTTGTCGAGAGTTCCTGGAAGTTTCTAGCATTCAGTGGTAGACGGAACCAACCAATAACCAGATTGAATTCCCGCTCTCCCCCCCCCCCAAAAAAAAGAAAAAGACTTTTTCGTTTCCTTTATGCTAAGAGACGTATACAACGTATAACATAAAATGTTGACTAGAAATTAGAAACCATGAATGAAAGTAACTTTATCCTTACAGTTTTTAGCTTATTCAATAGTCAATTTTATTTGATAATACAATTAAGAAAAAAAAAATTTAGAAAATAGTAGAAAAAAAGTTAATTTTAATTTAATAAAATACAAAGACTATTTTACATTTATCTTATTTATTTTTCATATTTTCTACTTCTTAAGTGAAAAAGAATTTGTTTTTACTTAACAAGTGCATGTTTTTTTTTTTTTTTTTTTTAAATTTTATTTTTGAAAAAGATTTAAAGAAAAAGAAACGATTGTAAAGAAAACGTCTGTGTGTTTGCAAAAAGGAGAAGAGATGCAAGGAGCATTTTGTGCATTTTTCAAATATAAAATGTAAAAGAAACTGTGTGAAGAGAGAAAGAGAGTATTCACTTACCGAGTCTCTTTGAAATCTCGCTGTTGTGCATCTTTGGATTCTCGTGGGCGATCTTTCTACGTTGAAGTCGCGACCATACCATAAAAGCGTTCATCGGTCTTTTTATATGGTCCACCTGCATTTTCTTAGCCGCCCCCAATGGGCTGCCTAGTCCAACCCCCATTGGTCCAACACCCGCACTTCCTGGGGGTGAGGCTCCCGACATTCCCTGCATGCCACGAAGTGTCTCCGAGAAGGCACCGTCGCACATATTGCCGCCGGCTCTGAAATTTTTCAATTTCTTCATTATTACTCATTATATACAATTTTATTTTCTTTTTTTTTTTTTTATTAATTTTTAATATTCAATTTCAATTCGAAAAAAGTAAAAAAAAAACAATTTGAATTATTGAAAATTTTACTAAAATAAATTAAACTATTTTTTAAATCTGAATTAATTGAAAATAAAATAAATATAAACATTTTTTTAGACAAAAATCTTAAGCAGGCATAGAAAAAGTTTGCTGTGACAGCGAATTATTTGCTGTCACATCAAATTACGTTAGCTAATATAGGGACAGCGAACAAATTTGCTGTGACAGTAATTTTTTAAGAAATTAATACTGATATTGTTTATCACAGCAAACTTTTTCATTGTCATAGCAAAGAATTTAGCTGTGGCTACTAATTTTAATAAATCCGATAGCATCTGTAAGCAATTCCTTTGTTTTCGTGTAATAATTTGCATAGAAAAATATTTTTTTTAGTTTAGCAAAAATTTTAGTTATTTTAAAATAACCTTCATGATTAGAAAAAGTTTGATGTGGTAGCGAATTTTTTGCTGCCACAGCAAACTGTACCAAAAATTGATGCAGCAAATTTTGACTGAAAAAATCAGTTAACATCTACAGCTAATTCATTCCTTTCCATGTAAAAAAAAATTTAACTAATTTTTTAGTTTAAAAAATAAAAATTACTTATTTTAAACTAAATTAGTAGAAATATTATACACTGAGAAAAAAGGTTTGAGCTGACAACCAAATATTTCATTCAATATATGTGCAACTAAAATTTTTTGGTTGACACAACTAAACTTTAGTTGACAACAACCAAAGTTTGTTTCAGACGACTAAATAAGAAAATGAAAAAAAATTTGGTAGTCTCAACCAAACTTTGGTTGATGTCAACTAAAGTTTAGTTGTGTCAACTAAAAAATTTTAGTTGCACATATATTAAATGAAATATTTGGTTGTCAGCTCAAACCTTTTTTCTCAGTGTACTATTTAAATATATCAATTTTTTTTTTTTTTTTGAACTAATTCAAGGAGAGTAATTTATATCAAAATTTTAATTCAAATTAGTAAAAAAAAATTTACTAACTTAAATTTTTAAAGGAAAAAAAAAATGTTTTTGCAAATTTTCTTATGTTGATTATTATAATATATACGTGTATTAATATATATCGGGAGTATATGGTGTATATAAATAAGGCACTACCAACTACGAGTAGTCATTGACATTGACAAGTAGTAAAAAGCAATGTCAGTCTCATTGTGTTTGCACAGAGCTCAGGGCGATCTCACGAATCGACGTCTCAAACGTCATTCGCAGAAAACGAAATAAGCACCCGAGCGTTCATGACCCTTGTCCTCGAGGAAAATTTTGTTCCTTTCATATTTCTAGTGTCAATCGATCAGCTTGGAACACTAAATAATGCGATAACCCTATGATACAATAAATTCACTCCTCCTTACGTATATTGTAAAATACATGATTACATAATTTAAAAATACATTTTTTTCTTTCTAAAAACAATATATACATTCACTTTAAATATGATTGATTTAATTATTTTGTACATTTTATATTTAAAAAAAAATAATTTTACAATTTTTTCAAAGTTGCTAAATTACAATAGATGAAAAAAAATTTTATGCTAAAATCAAGAATATATATATATGTGACGCGCTCTGAATGGAAGGGACCTTGGAAGCAAACGAATTATAGGTTATGTTTACCATAGTTTTACCTTGACTGAATGTTTTCACTTCAAAATTTCAAAACATAACCTATAATGTTTTGCTTCTTAGGTCCCTTTTCTCTTATTTTATGACAATAATTTACATATATTCAATTCCACAATAAATATATGTCAGTGTACAAACGATTTAGAAGAAAAAATATATATTTCTGTGCAAAATTATTATAATTGTTTGTCTAAAAAAAAAAAAAAAAAAATTTCGATACAGAGTCGTTAAGTATAATCTAAAGTTTATCAAATAAAAAATAAAAATTTACAAAAGGTAATTTAGCCAAAGTTAGTGAAAATAAAGAAACTAAAACTTTTTAAAACTTGTAAAAAAAAAAAATCTCCAACAGTGAACAAAAAGTGTATAGGTAAATACTTTAGTACTTTCAAATGTTTGCAACAATGAACTCGACAATATGGTAAAATTTCCCTAATGCATAAATAAAGACGATTTTTTTTCTCTCTCTCTTTCTCATGCAAAAAGTGGAAAAACATACACATAAGCATATGAATTTTGTGCCCATAAAAATATTACGATCTTTTTGTGCATATTTAAATTAGTTAGGTAAATGTGATGAATTGTCAGTGGTCAAGTGTTAACCCCCTTTGAACTTCATGACCACGACTGGTACCAGACAAACTCGCAAAGTGTTCGTTTAAGTCATTGCTAATTTATTGTTAGCGTCAGCCTCTACTCTGAAAGTCAAAAAATAAAAATAAATAAATTCATATGTGTCGTATAAAATAAAGAATTTTGTTTTTTGTAAATTTTCTAAAAAAATTTAGAAATAATAAATTTTTAAAAAATTTATTATTTTTCGAATCTTCTAATTTCAAGACAATATGATATTTTTCATTATGAAATGTAAATATAATATGACAAATGTCGCTTGACAATTATTATTATTATCTAAAGTAATAGGAAATATATTCTTCTTTTTTTTTTATTTTATATGCGTATATGCACTTGCAGTGACACGTTTCATTGACACGTTTGTTGCTACTGCGCAAGGTGTTGAATTTATTGATGCAGATGTCACATACACCTGTGAATCATTAGGGACATCAATATGTCAACAATGAATTTCATTATTGCGTTTATCTCGGGCCAAACACTCCTGTTTCTTAGACACAATAGTGAATCATAATTATCATTAATACCGTTATATTTGCCATCAGTATTATAAAATTATTGTTATATACTTTTATTATTATTACATTATTTTTATACTACTTTTATTATTATTATTATTATTATTATTATAGTATTTTTTGAGAATAATTTGGAAAAATATCACAGAAATGGGGGATCGAACCCAGTACCCTTGAGACGCGAGCCGTGTACTCTAACCACAGAGCCACGTTGACTTTATTATTATATTAATTAAAATGTAAAAAATAACATTGTGGAAGTAAAATCTGTATTTCCAGTAGTCTATAATCGTAAAGAAAAACCTCAATTCATATCCCTTGACCTTTAAGCAATTTCAATGGAAATAAAGGGCAAAGTGTAACCGTAAATCATGTTGCGAAAAAAAGTAGTATACAGAAAAAAAAGGAAGAAGAGTTTGAAATAAATCTGAGATTTCTTATTATAAGGAAAGTTTATCTTTAATTAAATGAAAAGAAGAGGAAATTATGTACGAGTAAAAAAAGAGAGAGAGAGAGAGAGAGAGAGAGAGAGTGCTCTCGTAGATACTCGTGCCGCGTGTGGTAATTGCTTATTCGTTTGCTCTTTGATTCATAAGCAAATTAATCTTATCCTTTTCTCATATCAAAGCCATTAACTGATCTCGGCGTGCGGCCGAAGCAACCAACTCTCTACCCCAAAATGTCACCCCAGGGCGGAGGGCGCAAAACCCAAGCCTCTCGAACTAACACAATTACCGCGTGGATCTCCTTGAGCATTCATTAAAAAACCTGTAGTGGTCGAGGGAGGTCTCTCTTCTCCCTGGGGTGGTAGTTACGATTTTGTAGGGTTAGAATCATCCAAGAGTTGCTTTCTCTCTCTCTCTCTCTCTTTTTCTCTTCCTCCCCCCACCCTCGAGTGTCATTCAGTAAGGATTAATAGATATATACGTGGGTTAAAAAAGGGGGACACGAGGTCGTCGTTCTCTCTTCCTTATGGAAGAAACGAATGGTGGGGTGCGAGGAAACAACTTTGCTGCAAGATGCTGGAAGTAATGGCTGTTGACAACGGAGGGGGATTAGGAAGTGCTAATTGAATGTTTAGGCCCGCCTCAAGTAATCCTCACTGGTGTTATTCCATTTCAATCCACATTTTATCATCCTAGTCCTTTCAAATATATCATTATTATTTTCTAATTACATATTTTATTTGCCTCTAAAACATTATGCATACTTCTTCATATGTATACCAAATTTTAATCTCTATATTTATAAAATATCTAAATTTATTTTAATTAAAATTATTTTTAATCAAGTTAATTATAATTTAGTTAATTAATTAACAGCTAATTCAAAAATTATCAAATTAGGTATAAAAATTTAAATAAATTTCATATACTTTTAGTTTTAATTTGATATTTTCAATAGTTAACTGTGTAATTTTTTACTTCACATGTTTTGAAAAGTATTCATGTGATATTAAATAATTATTTAGTTAATTATTATAAATAATATTATATTTTATATTATATTATGGTAATGATATTAAAAATTATGGAATTAATTATTTTAATTGTATTTGCTACTAACAATCGTTTCTATTTGAATAGATAAGAAGCATGAAATTAATAATATGTAAAAAAAATTAGTATATAAATAATAAATAAAATACGCGCTCTCAAGAAAGGGACCTTAGAAGCAAAAAATTATAGGTTGTGTTTTAAAATTTCAAAAGTAAAAATACACACAGAGGATCAATTTTCAATACAATTTATTGATATTTAAATTTTCACTGCATCCACAATATTCAATAAAAACAGATTTTTATTTTAAATAAATAAAAATAAACTTTTAATCAAGGTTAAAATTATCGTTACAATTAGTTTGTTTCTAAGGTCCCTTTCTTCAGAGCGCGTTAGAAATAGTAAAAAAAATACAATACAATTAATACATACATTTAAAAAATTAACAATCAATTAACATTAATAATATTGTTTGAATTATACAGGCTCCAGAATTCAAATTAAATAAAAAAACATAATAATATGAAACAAATGAACAAGAAAAACTCAATAATATTAAATAAACTGAAATAATGGAGAAAAAGTAAAGAAAAAAAAAAAATTCTCAGTTAAAATTTATTTATTTAAATTTTTTTTACATTTCAAATATACTTAAAAATAATGAATAAAAAGTGAAGGAAAAAAATTTTTCTTAGTAAAAATTTGTTTATTTAAAGGTTTTTTTACATTTCAAAAATATTTATTGTATCCATACATTTTTTTCTATTGTTTATATTTTGCTTATTTTAGTTTCGTTCGGTTTTTACAATGTATATTGTAAAAAAAGAAAAGTTATATTCAATGACCGTTGGGAAAATTTGCATTATACTGCTTTTTTGTAAATATTTTTAACAGTTCTTCATTCCGCTTCCATTTTTGGAGACAATGTATAGAGAAACAGGTCAAAAGAGACGACAACAATATAAAATTGTGAAATAGAAAATGTTGGTATTACTGTCCGCAATAAAAAAAAAAATGTGCACGGTTGTTTCGTTTTTGCAGGTAATACAATAAAAATTTTCTCAAAACTTTGTGAACAAAATAAAAATTTACCTGTAACCAGTAAATCCCTGTTTTTTTCCCCTATATTCGTAAATTACATTGTCCTGTCTGTAAATCCCAAGTCTTTTCAAAAAGACATTTGTTGCCAAAAAAAAAAAAAAAAAAAAAAAAAGTGCCAATTGTGTCAAAAGATGTAAAACCGAGAATTATTTCCGCTTTACAGTAAATTTGAAAATATAATCCGCAAACCTCCAAAATAATTTTTGAAACTTTAAGCTACATTTATTTTTAAAATAAAATTTTTGCTAATACAATTTTTATTAATAATTAAAATTAAAAATTAATAATTAATTATAAGATCTAATGGGATTTACAAAAGGAATGTTTTAGTAAAAAAAAAAAACGGATTTATTGCTACAGGTATATAGATTCAATTTTGATTCTTTTTATAACATTAAATTATAATTTTCATTACAATTATCGAATTAATTGATTCATATATAATAATTATATTTGCCGTAATTTTTACTTAATTTCGATTTTAACTTATATTTCTCATTTCTATATATAAAATTTTTGTTCGCCCTTCAATCAGTTCATTCTGAAATATTGAAACTTAATTTTTCCGGGAAATTATGTTGTTGGCAAACAATACTCTTCACAATAAACTCGAGTACAGATATATAATAAAGATATGAAAGCTGAAAGACTCATAAACTTTCAGGAATCACATAGGACACACGTGTCTGTTTACGACTTTCTTATGAGCGAAATATAATTTTGCTTGAACCCCTATTTATTGAAGAAATATTATCAAAGAAAATAAAATTAACGAATTATGTGTATCCAATCAAAAAAAAAAAAAAAAAAAAAAAATAACTGAATTTATGTCCCTTACGACCATTTCATTTTAATTGTGCTTTTAATTTAACGTGTACTTAATTACATGTGACATTTACAAAGGAAGATATTATGTATTGATTATATAATATCAATATTCGTCAAATTGCGATGTGGTAAATGTTTGTCGAAAAAAATGTTTCCTTATAGAAAACTATGCAGGGTCAGATTTCCCAATAGAAAATTATTTTTGCGTACGATTTAGCCGTCGGAATATTTTTCATACTATATTTTAATTATTTATTCATTAATTAGGGGTGATTCTTAATTAGATTTTTAAAAATATATATGTTGTGATTAATAATATAGGCTGTAAAAAAAATTGAGTAGTTAGATCTTAAACGAAGTTGGATTAAAATTATATATAGAAGTCAAAAATCGTTGTCAAAAGTAAGTAAATATAACATTAAAAATTTATTTTTAACTGCAACAAATTATAATTTTTCATATATCTTTATATTTTATACTTATTTAATTTTTTTTGAAATATGTATAAATAAATAAATAAATATTTTCTAAATATTGGTTAGAATTACAATATATTTAATATTTAATCAGTCAAATCATGAGTAATTTTAATTTTAAATTAAAATAAAAGAGATTCTTTTTTTTGTTTTGCTATTTACAATGTTGTCACACTATAAAAAAAATTAAATTCCCATTGGAATTGTATAAAAATCTCTACTCTTTTGGAGTTAAATCAAAGGGTGTAAAATCTAGGGTGTTACAATTTTACAATGACAAATGTTCCGACGGATAATTATTTCTATAAATATTTTCATATTACTGAAAAACATCGCCTAAACAGCCACGCACATTAGAGGAATAGTAAATTTTTGTCCGGGCTCTAATTAGTTCGAGCGTTACATTCCCGATTGGGGCCAAATCGGGAAATTCTATCTAAAACAAATGAGTAATTTAAAATTACCTAATTCGACTAAGTAAATCGCTAGTGCCTTTTTTGAATATAAATATATCAAAATTTTGAAAATTTGATAAGATAGCTGTGAGAAAAAATATTTTGTTAGAATTTTAATTTTTTTTTTGAACCCACCTCATGAAGTGGCCGGCGGCCCGTTGATGCAAATCAAGATCAATTGTGCTGCCGTGTTTGAGACTCGCGTCTCTTTGCCTTAATAAAAAATTTCCTTGAAACTTATGGAGAAAATAATCACCACACTTTGGGCAAGTGATAAATATCAATTGCAAAAACTTTTAAAAGTGAATTATTATTATCTAAATCGTCATATATGTGTCTGGTTATCACTTCACTTTTTTTTCGTTACTTTCCTATAAAACACTAGGAGTTTTCCCGACTATTACCACTATTTCCATACGTAACACACCCGAAAGTACATTATTTTTTTTTTTTTAAAAAAAGCACTGCAAATTTTTTTTGTGTATCGAGGCACAAAAGACAATAAAAATTGGCACTGTTTTTCTTTTTTTTCAAAATAATTTTAATGAATAAATGAATATAAAAAATTGTACTATTATTTTAATAATAATAGAGAGAAATACACGACCGTGGTTCTCTTCGGACAACTTAATTTGGAAGTGTACGTAAACGGTTCTGGCACCGGTTGTGACGGTGCTGAGGTGCTCGATTCGAACCTCCCTCTATTCCCTACCCATGAGAATATGAAAGTTGGCGGGAGCGAGGTAACGTCCAATGAGAAATTTTGAGGGGCGGTATCTTTGAAATAACGGTGTAGCAAGGATGGATTTCGATTGGTTTAGAGCGATATGCGAGAGAGAGAGAGTGAGTCAAGTTTTGAGACCTGAGGGAACGACGAAAAGGCGCGTTGAAATCTAGCAAGCTCTGCGCACTTACCTTCTCTATATTTCACACTTCCACTTGTATAGTATGTGTGCACGTGAAATTCCCCAATGAAGCATATAGAATACTCCCTGAAGAATTGTCTTCTAAAGAACTCCATGCTGTATTTACAGCAAAATTGTTCTGAGAATACAATAGAAAATTTTGAAAAATGAGTTCATTTTCTCAATGACGATTATTTATTTTTCTATTTATACATTGTAGAAAGAAAAAAGTTGAAATTTAACTCCCATCCAGTAACACTCTTTGGAGTGAAATTAAAATTTAACTCCAATTTTACTCTTCCGGAGTTATGGCAAAGGGAGTGAAATTGTACTCCTGGTAAATAATTTGGTTAAAAGCATATAATGTCAGCTGGAGACTCCCTTAAAATGCTTAGAGTTAAAATTCGACTTGAAAAAATGAGTAAAAATACTCGCTATTTTACTGCAGGAGTTAAAAAATTGTAGTAAGTTATTAATTCCCTTCTAAGTTAAATTTTAGTAATTTTAGTTATTTTAAATTATTTCTTTGTGAAGTTAATTTAAAGGAGTGAAAGATTGACTCTCTAAGTTTTACACCCTTTAATATTTAAGTACAAAAATTCCACTCCTAATTTCAGTGTAGTCTTTCGTTTCTCTCGAATAAATTATAGTCAGAATTTGATATAGGAGTTTTATCTCTAGTTTTTTTCACTCTGAATTTCATAAGTGAAAGTACACTATTTAGTGAGTAATTAACTACAGTCCTGTCAAATTTTTATTCATTAAATAGAGTATCAATTCACACTTCTTGGAGTAAAAAAACAAATATTCCAATTCTCGTAATCTGTCATTTAGTTGACGGAATCTTTTTCTACTCTGTGAAAAAAGGAATTACATTTTAACTCCCAATGGGATTCTATATATATCGCACCTTTTTGGTGTTAAAGCAAAAGGAGTTAATGCTAAGGGAGTTAATTTTATGCTTAGAGAGTTTATTTCCAAAACTTTTACTCCCAACTCTGGTTGCTATTAACTCCTCGAATTTTTAACAGTGTTTAAAAATTAATCCTTACATTGTAAAAAATGTGGGGAGTTAAAAGTTTTTCTTCAACTCCGAGTACGACTCTTAGAGACTCCCATTAGGAGTTAATATCTAAATCCCTTTTGTTTACAATGTATATAGATTCTTACGATTTGTGTATGTACGTGGGTTTTCACATCAAAAAGAGTGAAATACTATTTTACTGGATTAAATTACAATTTGGTTACAAAATTGAAAGTGAAATCTTACTTTAAAAAAAGGGAGTCCAATTTGATCTCCCAACGGTTCGGGATTTTATACAAGTAACACTTTTTTGGAGTTGAAACAAAGGGAGTTGATGCTAAAAGACTTCATTCTGTGCCTAGGGGATTAATCTAATCATGAAATATTTTATGGATTTGATTCTTAACTCAAAAAATTTTACTCCAAACTGTTTGGAGTTTAAGGAAAGGGATTTAATGCTAAAGAATTAATTTTAAGCCTAGGGAGTTAATCTAATGTTAACTCACTTTTGGAGTTGATTTTTAAATCCAAACATTTTACTCCCAACTCCGTTTGCCATTAACTCTTCAAATTTTTTACAATAAACAATTAACACCAAAGATTTAAATACACTGCAAAAAAGGGAGTTAGATGTTAACTCCCAACGGTACTGTATAAAACTCCTACTCTTTTGGATTGAAAACATAAAGGTTTTTGATAATAATTCCATAAGCATTTAACACTATGACGTCAGTTAAACTGTATAAAATTTTAGCAAACAAATTAATGGTAAACGGAATTCGGAGTCAAATGTTTGGTGTTAAAAATTAACTTAAAAAGTAAGTTAACATTAGATTAACTCTCTTAGCATTAACTCCTTAGAAATGAAATTGACTTTCTTATTGCATTATAACTATACTTTTGCTTCAACTCCAAAATGATGTGATATTTATAGAATCCCGTTGGGAGTTAAAATCTAAATTTGTAATATTTCACTTCCTTAAATTAACTCCATTATGAGTTAACATCATGACGTCAGCTGTATAGTTATGATTTAACTCATAAGGGAGTTAAATTTTACACTTTTTTCACTCTTGGAATACAAAAAACAAACTTTAAATGTATATTTAATCTTGAGTGTTTGTTGAAATAAATTTCTGTTTTTGTTTGTTTAATATTGTTTTTAGTTACTGCTCCTTATTGAAAAGGCTCTTAGTTATACAATATGTTAATAAAAATAATAAGTTTTTCATAGGCCAATTTGAGATCCCTCTCTGATAACAACAATCAGTTTAATCGATATACCCAAGTAGAAATATCCGTAGCTCGCCGTAATTAAACACCGGCATGGTACTGATCCAATACTGGCTGTCGGTATTGACTTTCAGTACTGGCAGTGTACTGACTAATACACCGAATCAGTACTATGTCGGAGGTAAAAAAATATTAAAACCAGTACTGGCAGTACACTGTCATTCACACCGAATCAGTACTATGTCGGTGATATAAAACATTAAATGAAAAAGTCTTTAAATTATTTCACTAGGTAGAAAACGATGATTTTTTATTTAAAAAAATGTATATTAATTTCTTTCGAATACTTTCCCTCAAAATTTTGGATGTAATTGTAATGTATTATTATATACCTATATAAAATATATTTATGTTTTTTTAGTTATTTTAGTACTCATTGAAATATGTGCATTAAGTTATTTATCATGCATACAATAACAATAAGTTGAGAATTTTTTTCTAATAGTTTTGAAAATAAAGCAAATGTAATTTTTTCACTGTAATTTTTAAATATTATTAATAATTAAATATTAAATTTAAAAAATTTTTCACCATTCATATTTTACAGTCGTCTTTTATTAACTTATTTTTAATTATTTAATTCATCAATCATTTTTGTCTGTTTTAATATTATTTACGGTAAAAATAATTTATTAAAAATAATTAACTGAAATTGATATCCAGTTTTATTTCATTAAATCTTTGTAAAAATTGAAAAAATTTTGTGAGTTTAAAAAATTTAAGAATCAATTCATTTTATTTTCGTGATCAATAGATAATACAAACTTTGAAATCAAAACTTTTGTATTAGGTGAACTACTTCAAGTCAGCACTTCAAGCCAGCGCGGCTGTGCGGTATGCGTATCTAACTTGCGTTCTAAGGGTTTAGGGTTCGATCCCCCATGCGTGCGAGATTTTTCGTTCTTAGTTTTAAGTGTTATAAGTACAATATTTGTTCATGTGTAATATCAATTATTAAATAATTATTAAATTAAGTATAAGTGCAAAGTAAAAAAAATTAAATATTATGAATTTAAAAAAATAAAAAAATTTACAACACAAATTATTTTTTGTAAAATAATTTATTAAAAATAAAATAATTTAATTAATATAAATGATAATTATTATTTTAATTATTTATTGTTAATAATATTTTATATATTCTAAATAACATTAACTATTATTGGCTTCACATTACCTGTTCGTGGTAAAAATGGGAGTAATAAGCTAATAAGGATGAAATTTGCATTGGAAAGCGTGTTTTAGCATTTTGTAAAAAAGTGAGATTTTAAGTCCGGATGAGTACTTTGCCAGTATTATGCCAGTATTATTCTAGTACTACGTTAGTACTGGTGAGCGGGACAAAATCAGTACTGGACAGCGTTACCAGCCAGGGTTGGTCCACTACTGGCCCAGTACGGCAGTCAGTACTGTTATACTGACTGGCAGTGTTGGGTCAGTACTATGCCAGTGGCACATTTCTACTTGGGTAGTTTCATTACTCCCTGTTTGATCGCATCACTGCCATGCCGTTGCATCTTCCACGAAGATGATTAGGGTGTAACGCCTTCTATCCTCAGATTGCTGGATAATCACATCGTTAGTCCACTGAAGAGAAGGGACGCGTTTCAATTTGATTGGATATCACATAATGTCACACAAATAAAACGTGTAATAAACTCTTTTAACAACTTCATTTTTATAAATACGAATTTACAAATTTTTTTCTTTTCAACAATATACTATATTTTTTATTTATATTAAAATATAAGCTGCTTTCTTTTCTCATTATAAACTAATGTGATTCACTTTAAAAAAAAGTTTATAATAAATTTATTGAGAAAACTATTTATAATTAAATTTTTTGATCTTTATAATAATTAATGAAACTATATTATGTTGCTATATAAGAAAATTATTTCCAATTAGCACTTTTGAATATAAATAATTAACATATATTATTAATTTATAAAATTTTGAGTTGCTTTATCTGTTATGAACAATTAAATATTGAGAGGAGTGTGTTTCGAAAAGGCAATGGGAAAGTCGCGTGTGCGAGTCCAAATGACTGGAGATCCTGTTCAACAAGAACGTGGTTGTCCCTTTATATATATATATATGTGTATATATAGGACGAGAACGCGATTGCATTGTTAGTCGCATCATGGAACTTGTAACGTATGAATATCTAATGCTCCCCTCTACAATTAAATTCAGACAATATGTTTTGTTTCGCTCGACCCACCCTCGGTCGGTTTTGAATGGGACTATATAGGGGTTGAATTCCCCACCGCTTATCGACACGGTACTTTCTCCCTTTTGGCTTCTAATATTGAATATAGCGCGCGGTAAGTGTAAATCTCGCACTAACACCCCCCCCCCATCTCATCAGGGTGTTTCAAAACCATAAATGCGGTTGTTACAAACTGATAATAAATCCAAATAGATTTCTTTCCAAAATACATAAATATATAAATG